CCTTGATTCCCGTGGCGAGGGTGATGGGCGAAGCGACCAGCAGAAAGAGTGACAGGGTGATGGCAACATTGAAGGAAGCCATCTTGGTTAGCTAAGGTTTGGAAGGTTCTCTTGATGTTGAAGAATCGCAGAATGTTGCAAAAAGCCGAGTAGATTTCCGCTTGATATTTTGAATTCACTGGGCTCTTCTCTGCACGGACATCATATCCTGGGGAAGAAAAAAATAGTAGGTTAGAGTACTGTTTACTGTAATGATTGGGTTGCTCATCATTGCAAGAGTGGTAACAATGAGAATGACGATAACGACAAAAATAAGAATAATAAGAATAAGAAGAACAATAATAACAATAAGAATAAGAAGAACAATAATAACAATAAGAAGAAAAACAATAATAACAATAATAAGAAGAACGATAATAACAATAATAATATGAATAATAATATTAATAATGATGATGAACTGAAACCACTATTCCTTCTTTCCTTTACTCTCTCTTCTTTTCTTTATCCTAGGCTTTCCTCTCCCCCCCCCCCCTTTTCTTCCCGTCCTCTTCCTCTTCCCTTACGCCAAGCCCTCCCACTCCCTCTCCTTCTCCCTCTCCCACTCCCTTTTCTTTGACAACCAAATCCTTAACTCGCTCCTTCTCAGTACTTCTCTCTTCTCCCATCCTCCATTCCTTTAGTGTCCTTTCTCTTATTCTCCTTCCCTCTTCACTCGCCTTAAGTAAGTGTGTTCTTCCGGTGTAGCTTTGTGATCTTTCACATTCGGTGCCAACTCATTATGCTTTTAATTAATCTGATTTTCTTTGTGGTCACGTCATATAGGTCTGTCGCTGCGTATGTATGTATGTATGTATGTTTCTCTCTTGGTTTGTTTAAGTCTTTCTGTTTCAGTTTCTCTCTCTTTAATTTCTCTGTTCTTATTTCCTTTCTTTTTCTCTCTCATTTTGTTTTTCCTCTTTCTGTCTCTTTATCTTTCTTTCTTTTATTTTTTCTTTCTTTCGTTCTCTCTCTCTCTCTCTCTCTCGCTCTCCCTCTCTCTTTCTCTCTCTCTCTCTCTCTCTCTCTCTCTCTCTCTCTCTCTCTCTCTCTCTCTCTCTCTCTCTTTCTCGCTCTCTCTCTCTCCCTATTTTCTTTATCTCCCCTTTCTTTCTCTCTCCTTCCTTCTCTACCCTTTCTGTCTCTCCCTACCCCTCTCTTCCTTTTCTTCCTTTCCCTTTTCTCTCTCTCTCTCTCTCCCTCCTTCCTCCCTTCCCCTCTTCTCTCCCTACTTATATATAGACATCTTCCTCTCGCCATTTCTCTGTTAATGCTTCCCTGTTCTCCCCAATCATAGCACTTAATGTACTGTCGTTACTTTTTACTTTCTACACTTTTTATGCACATTTTTGAGGGATTAGTTCCCCCTTCCGTCTTCTCTCTCCCTTTCTCTTTGCTCCTTTTTTTGTCCTCTTCCTCTTCCTTTCCTCTTTTTTCGTTGTTTTTTTTATTTTGTTATAATTATTATTATCATCATTATTGTTATTTTTATTATCATCGTCATTATCCCCCCTCTTTCTGGTTCTTCTTCTTCCTTTCTTTCTTCCTCATACTGCTCTGCCTTCTCCCCTTCTTGCTTCCCCACCCCCCTCCTCCTCCTCCTCCTCTTCCTCCTCCTCTTCCAATTTTCTTTCCACCTCTTCCTTCATTTCCAACCGCATGCTTATCTTCTCCACAAACTTCCCCTCATCTCGCCTTCCCCCCCCTCTCTTCCCCCCTTACCGCTCACTCCCCCGCGGCGCGCACGTGTTGGGGAGAGAAAGAGGGAGGAAGGAAGGGAAGGAGGAAGGAGGGAGGAAGGGGGGGAGGGAATGAGGGGGAGGGAGAGAGAGAAAAAAAGAGAAAGAGAAAGAGAAAGAGAAAGAGAAAGAGAAAGAAAGAGAAAGAGGAAGATATAAAGATTAAAAAAAGAAGAAATAACGAAATAAAGAGAGAAAGAAAGAAAGAAAGAAAGAAAAAGAGAAAAATAAAGAGAAGAAAGGGAGAAAAACAAAGAGCGCCAAATAGACAGAAAAAAAACAACAACAGACAAACAGAATCAGACAAAAAACCCAAACCCAAACCAAACAAACAGAGAAAACAACGAATATATAAAAACAAAGAAATAACCCAATAACGAACGAAGGAGGAAGCACAGGAGAGAGAAAGAGGGGAGCCCAAACCGCGTTCTCGGCAGCGGTTCCTCTCCGAGATTTTGGTAAAGTCAATTATAAAAAACCTAAGGGGAAGGAGACAGCTATTACATAACTTTGAAGAAAATAACGAGGCAAACTTTGAGATGAAAAGGACTGCGGTGTTTACAAAGAGAGAGAGAATGAGAGAGGGGGTGGAGGGGAGTGAGAGAGAGAGAGAGAGAGAGAGAGAGAGAGAGAGAGAGAGAGAGAGAGAGAGAGAGAGAGAGAGAGAGAGAGAGAGAGAGAGAGAGAGAGGAGAGAGTGAGAGAGAGAGAGGGAGCGAGGGAGGGGAGAGGAAGGGAACTAAAGAGAGAGGGAGAGGAAGGGTGAAGAAGGGAGGGAGAGGGGGAGGGGGGAAGGAGGGAGGGAGGGAGGGAGAGAGAGAGGAGAGAGAGGGAGGAGGGAGGGAGAAAAAGAGGTGAGGATAGAATAAGGACAGAAGGATGAGATGGGTGCGGGAAGGAAGGGAGAGAAGGAGGGAGAAAAAGATAAGGAGAGAAAAAATAAAACAAGAAAGATAGAAATAGACACAGAGAGAGGCAGAGAAGAGAAAGGGAGGGGAGAGAAGAGAAGAAAAGAGAAGAGAAGAGAGAGAAAAGAAAAGAAGAAAAGAAGGAGAGATGAGAAGGATGAACAACACAAGTAAACAGAAACACAAACAAAGCGAACAAGCAAAAACACATACAAGAAAAAAACAAAACAACAACAACAACAACAACAAGAAAGGGGAACAAGAAAGACCGGAATAACAGAAGAAAAAGGAGAGAAAAGAGAATCAGAGCGAGAGGTTCCCGGCGGCCCAGAGTCAGGTATTGGATTTTAGAGCTCACAGTACTGGCACTCGGCACTATTACGTCAGAGTGCCAGGCCCGAGGATCTGAGAGTGACGGGGATGTTGCGGTGATGATGATGGAGATGAGGGGGGGATGGTGGAGATGAGGGGGGATGTTGGTGGTGATAAGGGAGATGGTGATGGTGATGAGGGGGGGATGGTGGTGGTGATGAGGGGGGGGATGATGGAGATGGTTGAGATGGTGGTGACAGCGAATTTGATGTTGATGAATAGCAAATAAAAGTCTAAAGATGAAAATTAATTTAGGAATAAAAGATAATCGAGATAATAAAGAGGAAGAAAAAAAGCGAAGGAGATAAGGAAAAGGATATTGGAAGTGAAAAAAGGAAGAAAGAATGAAGAAAGAAAAAAGTAGAAACAAACCCCAATAAAAAAACACAAATCAAAATAAGAAAAAAACAAACAAACAAACAGAAAAGACGCAGAAAACAGGCCGGCACACACAAGCGTAAACAGCAGCTCATAAACAGCGACCCGACACCTGAGAGAGAGAGAGAGAGAGAGAGAGAGAGAGAGAGAGAGAGAGAGAGAGAGAGAGAGAGAGAGAGAGAGAGTGAGAGAGAGAGAGACGTTTGAGGCCCGACATGTCAACAGTCTCAAGTCAGGGTCTCTCATCACTTCTTTCTCCTCCTCCTCCTTCTTCTTCTTCTTCTTCTTCTTCTTTTCTTTTTTTTCTTCTTCTTCTTCTTTTTTCTTCTTTTATTTCTATTTTTCTTCTTCTTCGCTTCTTGTTCTTTGTTTTGTTGGTCGTTCTAGGTATCGCCTTCCTCTTTCTTTCTTTCTTTCTCTCTCTCTCGCTCTCTCTCCTTCTTCTTTTCTTCCATCATTTTCCTCTTCCTCTCCCTACCCCTTCCTCTTTCACCTCTTCCTTTCTCTCTTCTTTCCTTTTCCCACTTCCTCGCGGCCTTTATAAACTCCAACCACACCTTCTCCCCACCCAATATAGGAGAGAAAGAAAGAGGGAGGGGGTGGGGGAGAGAGGGAGGGAGGGAGGGAGAGAGAGAGAGAGAGAGAGAGAGAGAGAGAGAGAGAGAGAGAGAGAGAGAGAGAGAGAGAGAGGGAGAGAGAGAGAGAGAGAGAGAGAGAAAGAGAAAGAGAGAATGTGCCTTGTCGAAGCTGTGATTGTGGATGCTCATTCTCCCCCCCCCAAGACTCCTCTCCACTCCCCTCCTCCCCCTACTCCCCACATCCCACCCCATAAGTCACCTAAGGGTAAGTCACAGTCCTCAGAGCCCATTTCAGTCACACCCCTCTCCCCTTACCTACCCCCTCCCCTCCGGCGAATTCCCTTTCACACCCCTACCTTCCGTCTATTTCCCCTCCCCCCCCCCCTCTCTCCCTTTCTGTGCTTCGCCATGCTCTTCAACACCCATTTTCTCCCCTCCATCCACCCCCCCCCCTATCTTCTATCCTCCTTGCCTTCCCTTCAAACCCATGCCCTCCCCCCTCCCCCATCTTTCCACCCCCCCCCTCTCTTTTTATCTCATCCTCTTTTCCACCATCTCCCCCACCCCCTTTTCACCCCTCTACCCCCTCCCCTTCTCTGCCCTCTCTTGCATCTTTCTCCCTACCCCCCCCTCCCTCCTCATTCACCCCACTCACATCCCCTCCCCAGCACCCCCTTCCCCCGGTCCCCCACCCCCCATTAGCCCCGCGGGGACATCACTTGAATGGATCATATTATCGTGAGGTGTGACTCACTCATAACGCGGGTGCAATTAAAATAATTATTTCACTCCAACCGTCCCCCCCCTCCCCCTCCCCCCCTCCCCCGACCCCATTGTCCATATTCAGCGGAAATTAATCAAATTGCGCATGCTGCTCTACCCCAACCCCCCCCTCCCCCCCACCTTCCCCTCTTTTTCCTTATATCTCACCTCTATCCTTTATTTCTCTCTCTTTCTTCCTCCAAAAAATCAAGATCGCTGTTACAAAAAAAAAGAAGAAGAAGAAGAAGAAAAAAAGATTACTGATTTAGATATACAGAGACCTTTGATATAAAACTTAAAAGACGACTGACCTCGTACTTAGAGATCTCTGATATAAAGAGTAGAGAGCGGTGAGATAAAAAAAGAAAAGATAAATGTTATTTTGCGATCAAAATAATACATAAATGAACAAATATATTAAAGAGGATAAATA